CTTTTACAGTTGATTTGTTCTAACTAGGATTCAAACCTGGCATTTAGGGTTATTTTATAGAAGAGGCATAGAAACACAACAGTGTTCCCTCCCACCATTTTTTTTTTCTTCATGCCAGCATTCTGTCACTGGAATCAGGCAATTGTCCCGTCGTATGCCAAATGGACTTCTGAAAGGCAGATATGTGAGGTGGGCGAGTGCATGTCATACACTTGGAGCAAGAACTGTGAGGCAGCTTTGCTGGGTGTTGGGCGGAGAGGATACTGATCATTGGCCTGTGCTATTCTTTGCACAACGGGAAGGTGGCCTTAGGAGATGACTTCAAAAGCAGTGGTTAGAGTGGGGTAGGAAGAGATGAGGAGACTGGTTAAAGGCTGTTGCCTAACTGACCGGTAGAAAAACAGTGAACCGCCGAAACCGGTTTGGCTCAGTGGATAGAGCATCAGCCTGTGGACTGAAAGGTCCCAGGTCTGATTTCAGTCAAGGGCATGTACCTTGGTTGTGGGCACAATCCCCACTATTGGGTGTGCAGGAGGCAGCTGATGCATGTTTCTCTCTCATTGATGTTTCCAGCTTTCTATCCTCCCTTCCTCTCTGTAAAAAATCAATAAAATATATATTGTTAAAAAGAAAAACAGTGAACGCTGCGCCTACAGCAGGGCCACAGTTGTTAACAGCCTGGAATGTGGAGTGCAGAGGTCTGGGTTCACATCTCGGGTCTGCCATGCTCTACCAGTAGCTGTGCAGCCGTGGGCAAATCTCTTCACATACCTAAACAAATGTTTCCTGAGTTATAAACATATACTGCTTCAAATGCTGTCTTGAATATTAAATAAAATTACCCAGAAAAGTAATTAGTTGATGCTCAAAAAAGTTAGCTATTGTAAGTGTAGCAGTGCAGGCCATGGTGAAGGGCCATCTGCCAGAGGCCTTGCACAGCGGGATGGTCCCGGTGACAGGAGGATGTGCTGAGAAACAGGAGTTGGGCCACTGAAGACTCACTGATAGGTCAACTTTTTAAATCTCTTCTCCCCAACCCTCAAAACACACACACTCACACACACACACACACACACACACGCACGCACGCACGCACCACCTCTTACAAAGAGAAAAACAGGAGGAAATGGCTTGGAAGAAAAAAGAAAAGATTATGGTTTTTTTTTTTTGTATGTGTGTGTCTTCAGCAACAGCATACACTGGAAACATGGGAAGACTATCCATGTAGAGACGACCACTTGGAAATTGAGCATTTGGGTCTTGAACTCTTAAGAAATGGCAGAGCCAGGGATATAGTTTCAAGGATTATCCACACTGGTATGATTAAATCAGTAGTTAGAAAAAAAAAAATCACAAATGTAAAGGTGAAGATAAAAAAAAAAAAGCAAATTAAAGCACACACAAACTGGAAGTCCACCTGAACACTAAGACCATAGAGGGCAAGAGAAAGAAAAAATGTTAGTGCACAGAAGAGGTGTGTGTGAATGTAGGCTGGGGTTTAGAAATGGCGGCAATGTAATGAAACCCAGGTTTCCAAGGAGCCTGCACATCGGTGCCAAATGCAGAGCGCAAACAGGAGAGGTCTGGGAGGCAGCGGCTGAACAGGAGAGGGTTTGAGCAACTAATTTCAGACCCAGGGCCGGTTCTGGGGACTGTGCTCTAAATGCCAATCTGGAAACTTTGTATACACAAGTAAAAATTAAGGACATACAAGAGGGAGAAAAGTGAATGTCGGGAAGTAGCCTCAAAGTACACAAGAAGGTGGAAAAGCCTGCAACCTGGGAAAGCCACTGGCTGGGTGGACAGGAAGTGCTGGTGGCTCCCGTGGAGAGCCACGGAGCGGGATGGCTCATCTTCGAGTTGCACATTTGTGAATCACAAACCCTGGAGAACACATAATTTCTTTGCAGAAGGGTCTGTTCCACTCGGTGACTACAGTACCATGGGAACTGAATTATCAAAGTTACTATTTAATGTAACAAAATAGGGACGGAAAGATTCAGGAGCCGGGCGCACTCATTCCAGCAGAGAACCACAGGTCTCTGGGAGTAGGCTGGCCTCAGAAATGCTCAGTGAGTGCAGCGTGAAAGCCTAGACACGTCTTCCTCACCAAGCACATATGCCACGCTCGGTCACCACCCCAGAGCTAGTATTTCTGTCTAGCATGCTTCCGGAGGAACACTGCTACCATCAGAGCCCTGCTCTGGAGACCAGAGCCTTACATCTTTTCTTTCACAGGCAAGGCATGCACCTCACGGTGTAAGGGAAGTGTAAGGTCACGGCAAAGTGCTGGCATTGCTCGTGTGGTCCCACGAGTGTTTTTCATGACACACGTGCACGTTGGTCATGGGCAGGAAGGGGAAGGTGAGTGACAGGTGGGGCAGGGCTGCGTGCCTGACGCCTGTGAGCAGTTTTCAAATCCCTCCCCGGCCACGCGCACATCGCAGACATATGAGAGGATGGAGCTCCTCTCCACCCACCGTGCGGCTCAGTTTAGTCTACAACAACTCATCCCCGCTCTGGGCTCTGTTTCTGTTCTTCACACCAAGCATGGGGCTGGGCAGCTGCGCTCTAGATAGGGCTCAACAGAGCTGCCTTTCCTTTCATGGGAAGGCCGTTAGAGTCATCGGGAAGGAGAGGGAATTCCAACCACTACAGGGCCCAGAGCTGAGGCTGGCGGAATCCTGTGTCTTTTAATTTCTGGAATCTGTGATGAGACCAACTTGCAAACTGCAGGCACAATCACACCTCGTTGGTTTTTAAACTGCAGTTCTAGTTCTCATTTCTAACTCATCTTCAATGAACCCAGAAAGCTTTTCCGTAGGTTGGATGGTGCACATTTGTTGTCTCCTCAGCTGGGGACAACAGTTGATTTTCTCACACACAAAAATTACTGTCGAAAGGAGGCTGCGGGCGACTCAGAAAAGTGATCATTTAGGGTCTCATCTGAGAGTGTAAAACAGAACCACCTCACCGATAAGTTCTGAATTCTGATGGGCTTTGTCCATATGGTTAATATTTGATTCTCCCCATACTCACGGATGGCCCCTTATGCAGGAACCACATCTGCTTAAGAGTTACAGGTGTCCTCCCCAGTCATAAACAAGATTTTCAGAGGTGATTCTGGGACCCCTGTGCGGGCTCTTTGTAGTAGAAACAGAACTCTGAACACCATGAAATGCCAGTTCAAAGGCTAGACATATCAAACACACAGGTTTCCCAGGGAGCAAAGATTCTTAAAAACGTCACTGAGAAAGAGAATAACGAAGCAATAAAAGGCAAGGGGTTTTGTGATGTTCAGTCCATGCTTCCTGGTTGGCAGGCCTCGATCTGTCTTCACCTGGTGCTGGTTTGCATTTAGAGTGGAACTGGCTAAAAATAAACCTCACATCCTAGATGGTCTGAAGTAGCCACACAGCCTTCGCTTCAAATCACACACCATTTCTGACATTAAAAAAAGCAGCAGTTGAGTACGTGAGAGGCCTCTTCCTCCAGAAGTGTAGGTTCCGATGTCACGACAATGCTATCACTCTTATTCCAGGCCAGGGTTCCCGAGAAATCCTCCCAGCACTTCCTATAGGACCTCCCGGCCTCTTGGTCCTAAACTCACATACCCTGTGTGGTAGACAGAACTACCACCTCAACCCAGGAACCTGTGACTTTAGAGTAGGGAGACTATTCTGGAATACCAGGCAGGTTCGATGTGATTACAAAGGGACCAGGGTTAGTGGTGTGATCACGCTATTTCACTGGGTTTGACAATGGAGGATGAGGGCTGCGAGCTGAGGAATGTGGTGGTGCCTAAAAACTGAGAATAAAAGGAAAGAAAAGCCAACATCCTGCTGATGACCCCTAGATTTGAGTCCACCCACATGGGATGTCTGACCTAGAGGACTGTAACATGGTGCATCGGGGTTGTTTTGAGCCACTGACTGAATGGTGATTCTTACAGCTGCAGCAGGAGACAAGCAGTGCTGTAGGAAGCAGGGATGCTTCGCCTCAGGCACTCCTCTCCAGTGCGGGGGGGGGGGGGGGGGGGGGGACGACACGGACGGACACACGGTGCCTGGCTTTCCTTGGCAATAAAACCAGTTCATTTCCTTTCCTTCTAGTTAAACTTCAGATTCCAGCAGAGTGCTAATCCTCAGAAAAGATGATATATAATAGCACAGCCTCTTCTAAATTTGAGCGTGGGGGCGGGAGGAGGAAGGAGGTACGGTGGGAGAAGTTAATCTCTCTTTTTTTCCCTCCCATTTTCTTTCAGAGATGTAACACTATTGTTAGAAACACAATCCCTTTCTAGTGGACCTGCGTTAATGTGGCTTGAAAATCTGCCTTTTCAGTTTCTCTGTTCCTTTTCTTCCCTCCCTCCCCTCCAAAATATCTCTGTGTGCAGTGAATGTTTGGATAATCTGAGATGATCTTAAATGGAAAGAATTTTAGCTCCCAAACCATGCAGATTTTCGTACTATGCCCTCAGTCAATTCAGGTAGGATTTGATAATATTTAATACACAGCAACAGCAAACAGTCCTGAATGAGAAGGTAAATAATTAGCATGCTAAGACTTGGACTAGCTGAGGTGAGAATATTAGAAGATTTTACATTCAATTATTTATGGGGGTGTTCTTTTTTTATTGCTGTTTATATGCTAGCTTTATTTTAATTGGAAAAAAATAGCAAGAGATCCTCTGAGTAATTTAAGGTACTATGGATCAAGAACCCATTTATGTAAAGATTTTTCAGGATCCTCTTGGAGTGAGGACATAACTAACCTCCAAGCCGAAGAGAAATGAGGCTGGGTGAGGCCCTATTCCAGTCCCTTTGCCCCAGATGACCAGAAAATTTTCTCTATCCAGAAAACAAATGAGTCCTCAGACCAAGTGTGTAGTGAGAACACCCAAAGCCTGGTGGGGGGTGTGACTTCATCAGGAGCACATACCGGAAGACGAGATGGTTTAACCCACCAAATAAAACTGAAAACAGAACAGGAACACTCACCCTCATGTCTCCGTTCACAGTTTTTGGCATGTGATTGAATGCGTGTGCAGGATCCTTGTTGTACACTTTGAGGAGCGATCTGTCCTGGATGTTCCTGGAATAAAAAACATCCATAACTACGGCAGACGAAAGGAGCCTTACTTTGGCCATTTTCTTGGTCTGCCCATAAGAACCAGGTAAAAGACAGCAGCAGACAATCCAGCTGTTGTCCACAAACAACCGGACAAAAGTTCTTTTACCACAGAGTAGGCAAAAATAAATAAAAGGAAAATGAGTTCAGTTTTTCTTTCCTTTCTTTTGTTTATTGTTCTTTGTTCTTTCTGTGTAGTTTTCCACCCATAGATAGAGGGTGGCATGGACTTTCTTTTAAGATGTTGAGCTAAGAAAGGTAACACTTAAAGAAACAGGGAAGCTGCAATATCTATAATATGTCCCAAGAGATTTGGTTAATATTTAAATATTTAATTGCTTACTTTACCCAGAAGTCCATTTTCTGCTTATCACATGAATGCACACAAACAAAAAAATGCTTTCCCCCCTTCAAACAGTTCCAGCAAGGAAAAGAGTATCTATTTGCAACCCAGACCAAGAAAAAAGTACCACAAAGATAAAAACGAGTATCTTTACAATGCCTTTTTTTTTTTTTTTCTTCCACAGGCGGGTTTTAAAAAATACTTTTCTACATACAAGTTGAATAAGTGGATGTGCAAAGTATTTAGAAGGAATAGCAGCAGATCAATTCTTCTACCTGTCTCTCTCTCTCTCCTGCTGAACCCAGCATTAGAGCTGGGGAGTCAGTCAGACCCCAGCAAAGAACAGAAGCCCCACACCTCTTCTCAGTTCCTACCTTAGCATTATTTAAGATCACATGAGTGACTATGAAGTCCTTTTCCCTTCATATTTCAGATTTCATCAGCAGAAGGGCCACCCACGCCCTCTCAGCCTTGCCTGCACAGTGATTCCTTCCAGGGCCAGCGCAGGCCAGGGGGTGGGGGGATGGCTGCGGGGAGGCAGGGGGAGAGAATGTGTGCAGGAGGACGCATTCCTTTCCTCCAGGTGCAGCCAAACGTTTTGTGGGCTGATCCCAATCACTGGGATTACTGAGCTCTGTTTTTGTTTTAAACGGAGTGGAGAATTCTTGGACTAGCTTTGCTTCCCTCTTTTAAATATCTGTCAGTAATTGCTTTGAAGCAGCAACTAGCCCAAGCTTGCACCATGGCTCCAGATTTCAGGTAGCTCATTAGAAGTCAGCTTAGGGGGGAGTGTGCAGTCCTTGTTATTAAGGGCCTAGGTTACTTGGAAGGGGGAGTTCACAGAAGGTGAGAATGTGGGGATTCACTAAAGGAATTCACCCTGTAGCTTCGGAGGAAAGTCACAATAATGATGTGGAGAAACCAAAAAACATACTTGAGTCACACACATACACACACACACACACACACACACACACACACACACCCGGTGTAATTATAAAGGTATTTAAAGTACCTTGGTTTATTATTAATTTAGAAACATGTTCATCCAAGATGAACCAACACCAAAGGCCCAGATTGCATTTACCATGGCAACATTTGCAAGCTGGCATTTGAACCTGAACTCTCGGTGGCATTTCCCCAAGGAAAATATGGAGAACCCAACACAATGATGAGACAGCCAAACTTGCAACAAGTATATCCTCACTTCAAAAAATGCTGAAGAATGTAAAATGAAATTTGTCTCTGGGTTCAGATGAAAGCCATTGTCCTGATTTAAAATCCACATGGTATATGGATATGGGGGTTGGGGAGGGAGGTTTTATATAATGGTAACGTTGAGAATTTACTTGATCATTCAAATAAGATATAGTTGAAGCATTTTATGCATAAAAGCAAAGAAATAGAACAATTCATTGGAAAAGATATATATATATATAAACATTTTCCCACATTTTTAGATCCATTTTTATAAGTAAATCAAAACACTAAAAAGTAAAATTCTAGACAATTTATAAATCAATGACTTCCCAATTAAACATTTTAAAATGAGATTTTAAAAAAAATCAGGCTATTAACACTGCAGCATGAGGATCAATAAGATAATCATTTCTGCAAATACAAACATATTGACTAAAAATTATCCATGTTAGAAATGATCACTGCTCTCAAGCACTTGCTTTAATCTATTTTATCAACTGAATTTGCCTAAAAAAGGATCATCTTAATTTGGAAGTTTGGGGGACCTTTCCTTTTTGTCTTCCTTCCACTTCCCTCTTTGTGACTATGAGATGACACTCCCCCAGAATGCATAAAGGAAGTATTAATAATACTCTGAGGCTTGGTAAACGCTCTAGAATATTGGGCTTCATCCTATATAATAAAAGCCTAATATGCTGTCTGATCATTTGGCCAGTTGCTATGACACACACTGACCACCAGAGGCAGACGGTCTGATGGATAGGTTAGCTTGCTGCTGGGATCCAGCTAATCATGATTGGGTTAGATGGGCTGGACACACTCTGGAGCCCTCCTGCGGTCCCTCCCCAGCCCCAATCATGCACCAGTGGGGTCCTCTGGCCTAGCCTGCACCCTCTCATAATTCGGGACCCCTTAGGGGATGTTGGAGAGTCAGTTTCAGCCTGATTTCCACAGGCCAGGCTGAGGGACCCCACCAGTGCATGAATCCATGCACCGGGCCGCTAGTTGTAATATAAAAAATCTTGCACGAGCTGTGAGGCAGTGGGTCCAATTGTTCATAATAACCTCATCATCCTTGAGCTCCATAATCAAAAGTGGCTTTGCCTAGTTTCATGCTTATTTATTATTACCATATCTCTCAATTCCTCCAACTGCAAAATGCAGAAATTCAAGAGGAGTGGTGTAAAATGTCACGTCCATGTAAAAACTCTACATGGAATTATATTACTGCAAACATACTCTTTAAACATAACATGATTACTTCATGCTTAAGTTTATGCTTTCTAAATTTCCTTTTATTGGTGACAGCTTGATTAATAATTTATTTCAAAAAACAAACATGGCTTTTCTGTTACCTATGAATATTTAAACATGTTTTTTTAAAAAGCAGGAAGGTTATGCAATGGGCCCAGCACCCTCTACCTTAGGGCATATGTCAATTTTTGAAAGCCCTAAATTACTCATACAACTTAGCACTTGCCTAAATATGTCATTGCAATCATTGTTAGATATGTATCAGTTTACATTTATTATGCATTAAAGGCATATATTTAAAAAGTGGTTTCCACTAATTCCATAATGAAGAAACAGGCCAGCCTGCTATTCCCACAGGGCAAGCACCCAGAAACTTAGGTTGTGGCCCACATGAACTGAGCAGTGAATCAACATTCTGAGGGAATAAAAAATTCTTGACCAAGAATGTGGACAGTCAGGTTTTGATTAAGCATGGCAATGACCTGGCTGCAGGATCCTGAGTAAGTCCATTAACTTTTATGCATCTGAATGTCTGGTACCATAACATAAAGAGGCTGGAATAGTCACTACATCATTTTTTAATCTCTAAAATGCTTAGAGGCTATACTAGCACCTGCTTGTTGGTGTTGATTTAATTCCTGTTTCTTAGGCTGTTTGTCTGGGACAGATTAGATGGTTCCCTTCGGCTCTATACACAACACCACCTCAGTCGATAAAGATGCTTTCATCGACTGCAGTAGCAGACGTCCATGGAGCCTCACTTTAGGAAATATTCTACTGGGTGCCCTGGAGAAGTCCACCTGGAGGGAGATCCATTGGTAAAGACCCAACTATTTAAGGAACAATTGGGAAGGGAGAATACTTCTCAGCCTCTTTTCCCATGGACGGTAGCAGATGCCACTGCTTTTATTCTGACTGGCTCATATGAAGAATGACTCAGTGGGATCATTGCCTAAGATGTCCCCAGGCTTGTCTGTGAGGGACAGAGTGGCTGAGAAGTTGGAAGTAGTGTCTTCAACTCTTATGACCTTCATCAGGTCTCTCCACATGGGGCTCAACAGCTCTTAGATACCTGGCAGACTGGATCATTTCCTAAGTTCTTTTCAGAGGTAACATGCAAGGATCTGTGTGGGAGAAGTCTAGACGTCCTTGCCTTTGTAAACCACTTCTTATAAGTGAATTATAGAAAGCCAGATAGTGGATTCACACCTGGGAGAGATAAGCCTGCCAGGTCAGACCAATACTTCTTCACTGGGCCACGAAGGACTCAATACAAACTGTAGCAATGCTAAATGCAATATGGTACACACACACACACACACACACACACACACACACACACACACACACGGGGCGAGACTACTTACCTTACATCATTTAATTCGTAATAGATGTTTCTGCTTTCATCTTTGATGTAAATGGCGACACTGGGCGACTCCAGCATTTTCATGGTGAGCTGCTGAGGGAAGGCACTTACGAAGAGAGCCCGGATCGTGTCTGCGCTTGTGATCTCGTTGGGCATCCTGAGCTGCTTGGTTTCGTCTCCATACTGGAGATAGAGAACCCCTGCGTGCAAAATGAGCACAGCGGTCACTCTCAGGCCAAGACTCACAGGACACGCAGCGCAAGCCACGCCTCTTCTGTCTGGCCACATGCAGGAAATGTTCTGGATAAGCTTGAAAGCATGCAACAAGAGATATATGTTCAGAATTTCCAAGGAATGCACTCTCTGGTTATCTCAAAAATATCCATTTTTATTCTTTGGGAGTCCAGGCAAGGTGTTGAAGAGGCTAATTTTCAACTTTTTTAAAACCAAAAGGACAAAAAGCGAACCTCTGGCAGCCTAAAGCAAAAGCCAATACTTAATCCCCTTGAAAGGCATACTTAGGAATGTAACCGCATAGGGTGATTTCCACCCCCCCCCCCATGTCTTTCAATAACTAAAAACACATTTAGTATAGCCATGTGTAAGATATCTAGTTTAAGTCTTTATAGTCCATTCAGAAACATTTTAGGTGGCAGTGTTACAATATTTCTGTGATCTAACACATATTGATTTAATGTTCATACCCTGTCAAACTACAAGAAAAAAGTGGCACCCTGATGTCTCAGGGAGAAACTGGAACAAGCCAGTTGCACAAATGAAAACAAGCACAGGATCACAGAATTCTTGAGTTCCAGAGGGTACATGGCTCCCAATGAACCATGCCTTTAAGAGTAGTCATGCTCTGCCCTAACCAGTTTGGCTCAGTGGATAGAGCATCAGCCCGCAGACTCAAGGGTCCCAGGTTTGGTTTCAGTCAAGGGCATGTACCTTGGTTGCAGGCACTTCCCTGGTAGGAGGTGTGCAGGAGGCAGCTGATCGATGTTTCTGTCTCATTGATGTTTCTAACTCTCTATCCCTCTCCCTTCCTCTCTGTAAAAAAAATTAATCCTACCTAATAAAAGAGTAATATGCAAATTAACCATCACCCCACTACACCTACAAGCCATGCCCACTAGCCTATCACAGTGAGTATGCAAATTAACCCCAACCAAGATGGCTACAGACACAGAGAGCAGTTGAAAGGTTTGGGTTCCCCTGACAATGGAAGCCAAGCTTTCCACACACCCTGGCCAGCTTAGGCCTCCACTCAAAGCTACAAAAGTTTCAATTATAGAAGATACATAAAACCAAACAGAAATGGCAGCAGCCACAGAGCGAGCAGGGGGCTTGCCTCCACTCCAGGCTACAAAGTTTCAATCATAGAAGGTAAATAAATTCCAGATACTAGGGCCTCCACTTGGGTTGCTCAGGGGCATGGCCAGCCTGCAAACCATCACAGGCCCCTCACCCAGGCCGCTCCATGCCCCAAGGGAACCCCCACCCTGATCCGGGACACCCTTTAGGGCAAACCAGCTGGCCCCCACCCATGCACTAAGTCTCTATCCTATCTAATAAAAGAGTAATATGCAGATTGACCATCACTCCAACACACAAGATGGCTGCCCCCATGTGGTCAAAGGTCCTGCCCCCATGTAGATACAAGATGGCCAGCAAGAAAGGGCAATTGGAGGCAATTAACCCTGCAGGGGAGGGCAGTTAAGGATGACTAGGTCAGCAGAGGAGGGAAGTTGGGGGCAAACAGGCTGTCAGGGGAGCAGTTAGATATCAGTCAGACTGGCATGGCAGGTAGAAGTGTTAGGGGCAATCAGGAAGGCAGAGCTGAAACTGGTTTGGCTCAGTGGATAGAGCGTCGGCCTATGGACTGAAGGAAGGCAGACAGGCGAGCAGTTGGGAGCCAGCAGTCCTGGATTGTGAGAGGGATGTCCAACTGACCCAATCCTGGTGGGCAGTTGAACATTCCTCGAGGGGTCCCAGGTTGAAAAGGATGTGGGCTGGGGAGAGGGACACCCTCCATCCCATGCACAAATTTTGTGCACTGGGCCTCTAGTAAAAAAAAAAAAAGAGTAGTCATGCTCTTATAAAGTGTAGGTTCTTCCAAGATCCCAGCTGAGCTTTGACATGTGACATTTTTTGGCCAATGGGACATTAGCAAATGTGATGCAAAATGGAGGCTAGCTAAGCGCTTGCACACTAGAGCTTGTCCTAATCCTGAGCATGGTCATGGGTTCCCTCACAGAACACACTTCGGTGGAGTCCAGACAAACATGCGGAGGATTCATGGAGAAGAATGGGAGCCCTGATTGGTGGCTAAGCATCCACTCTCCAGCCAGGACTGGCCAGTCATGAGGGTGAACTTTCTTGGTAGGGTATCCCTCCATTCTGCCCCCATCACATGAACAGAGGTCATACAAAACAGAATGGAGAGCCTGGCCCAAGTTAAAAAATCATGAACAAATAAATAACTGTGTTTGTTTTAAGTCACTATGTTTAGGGTCATGTGTTACTCAGGAACAGATAACCGAACCAGGGAATCAGAGATCCTGACATTCAATTTGTATCTTATTGTGAGAATTTACTGAGGAGGGACTACTACTACTGGAATAATCCTTGGCAGAGGAGATTTAAAAGAGAATAGAACATGACTTCTGGTCAAATATGGCAGTTCGTGTAATACATTTACCTCTGTCTCCTCCTGAAATTCCATTAGAATGACCATGAGGAATAAAAAAGCATACATTGAAGAATCAAGAGAACAGGAGAGGAAACAACAGCAGAGAAGAGAAAGCTGACAACCAAGTCTTCAAGGCGACAGCTCCACCTAAAACGCAGGCCCTGGGATAATTATATTTTCTGTATGAACATTTGTAAACCTACTTTCGCCTCACCTGTCTACACAGTTGATTAAGACATCTTACTATAAATATTACATTCTATATTGATATGCTAAACTAAGCTAGAGAACAGAAAATGTTATTAAGAAAGTCATAAGGAAAAATACATTTACAGAATTTATTGAAAAAAATCTGCATATAAGTGGACTCACACAATTCAAACTGTATAATTCATATTTTAATTATTGTTATTGTTTATCATCAGCCTCTCCCTTTAAAATGTAAGCTTCATAAAGTCAGAATTAAGAAAAAAATGTTTTTATTCACCGTTGTATTCTTAATACCTCTAATATGATTTATTATATAGTAGGTTCTCAGTAAATTAATGAATGAATGAATGGATGAATGAACAATTTATTAGTCACCCAAAAGGAATGTTCATTTGGGGTCTAGCTGAACTATAAGGACTTTGGCTACATGAAGTAAACAGCCCAGTGATCTCCTGCCCACTTTGTATTCACATTAGAACTACAGTCTGAAGAGGCTCTTTCCTTCACTGGAGCAGTCCTCTCCCTTCAGTGTAAGTGGCTCAACTTCCCCTCTCTGCCCATCATAGTTTTGATCCTCAGCTTCAGCAAGGGGTTAGTTTTCTAGAATATCCATGCTGTTACACATTCTTCAGAGTGCAGAAAAATACTTGCAACCCTGTCTGATCCCAGATCGTGCAACGTTTTTGTCCCAAAGGGGAGATGTGGCGGCTGCCCATGTGATTGCTAAGTGCCATATCAAAAGGCCAAAGCCATTCCTGAGGTCGGGGCCCCAACCATGCCTGGGGGAGGCCTCTGCCCACGGGCCACTTAAGGGCTCACTACAGCCAAATATCATGGCCTCATCTCCCCGAAGAGCCTGGCTTTCATTCCCACATCTGCAATCTGTACGTGTGTGCGCTTTAAATAGAATTTGTAGGCTCTGAGTAAAAAAAAAAAAAAAAAATTGGGCCTCCACTAAGGTTACCTCAGGGTCTGGCTGGTGCAGCTGCCAGCTGGGTACACAAGTCCGGTTACAGATCATGACATTCCGGAAAAGACGGGGAAACGATGCCTTTGTAAACAGAACAGCCTTTTTACACTTGATTCAGCTTGGTTACTCAATTCAGGAAAGGGATTTAGAAATGCTTAAATCAGAAGGAATGCTCTTAATATACGATGGCGTTTTACTGGCACAGTGATGAGAGTCAGCACATGCTGGCATACTTCCCCAGCACTGAGTCCGTGCTGGCTGCTCCAGATTCACAGAGAAAGTCTGAAGGACTTTGGATCATAAACTATTTCTTTATGAAGAAGGAAAGAAGACAGGGAAATGAATTTATAGGATGCCTGTTGTGTGTCAGAAACAGCATACTTATACAGCAGGTTCTCAATAACATTAGGTAACAACATTGATGAGTGCCCTAGGAACTTAACTTTTGTTTATATCAATTGGTTTCATTATACGCCATTCTGCTTCAAGTTGTAGAACCTAAGAGTGATGTTAAGCGAGGACTTCCTATACTTCATTTCATCAGAAGGTCTCAGTAACTTAGCCCCACTTCACAGATGGGGAAAAGGAAGCTCAGAAGGTCTCAGTCACTTACCTAAAGTTACAGCTAGTAAATGACTGAACTAATTTATATGTCCAACCCCATCCATCCACAGAGCCAATTATAAACAATAATATAAATGGAGCCGGAGCTGCCATATGCCACTGGCACTACCTTACATGTCTTACACCTGAACTCGTGGGATGCTAAAACAGGACAAAATAACCATTGGGCTGGATCTAAGGCCACATTGTGTTCTAAGATAATAAGAAAGCAATTATGATGACTACTGGACTGAAAATTTAAAACACTGCTTAGAATTAATATATGTTATCTATACCAATACAAAGGCCTTCCTTCTATTGATGTAATTATTCCCATTCCCTTTCTCATAAATAGCCATGGCCCATGCCTCCTTATTGGAATATTATTTGGCCTTCTGCCTGAATTAATAATTCCACATAGCTATTCTTATGGATCTCAAGTAAACACTTGTTTGCCTCTCACTTTGAAGGGCCTTCTTATGTTTTGGTTAGGTCCGAATCATTAGGACCATGACCTCTCTCTTGAAGCATACAGCCTAAATAAACTTCTGCATTTAGTCACATCCATTTCCTCTGACCTTCCTGTCTGGATGACCTTAGCTGTCCTCACATTTTCGTTTCGCCACCTGCTTGAAGATACTGAGATGCGATGGGGGCAGCTTGGAACAAAGATTCCTTAAAGTCACCTGGAGTAAATGTGACACACAGTCACATTTACTACACAT